AGTTGTAAGAGTTTTTTGTGTATTCTACATACAAGTCCCTTATCAGATAATACGATTTGCAAATATCCTCTCCCATTCTGTGAGTTGTCTTTTCACTTGCAGTCTTAATGGTTTCCTTTGAAGCACAATAGCTTTTAATTTTGATGATATCCAGTTAATCTATTTGTTGCTGCTTGTGCTTTGACGTCATATGACGAAGGCTTTGCTGTGAGATTTACTTCTATATTTTCTTCTAAGAATTTTATAGTTTTAGCTGTTTAGTTTTAGTCTGTGACCCATCCGTTTTTAGTTAACTTTTGTGTACGATGTGAGGTAGGGATCCAAATTCATCTTTTGCATGTGGATATCCAGTTGTCCCAGCACTATTTGTTAAAAGATTATTCTCTCTCCATTAAATTGTCTTGGTACCTTGCTGCCTTTTCTGGTCTGGAGAAATGACTATCCCCCCTTTCCCAGGAGAGATGGCATCAGCCTTGCTGGGATTTCAGTGAACAAGCAGGTGGCCCCAGCTGGGGCACCAGGACTCCCCCAGGGCCTCTCCAAAACCTCAGCCATGCCCAGCACAGGTGCTGGAGACACCATCTTACTTGGTGCCTCCTGTGTGCCAGCAGCTGGGGTCACGGCAGGGATCAAGGCAAGCTAGTCCCTGTTCTCTGGAGCTCACATTTCAGCAGGGAGATGGACAAGAAGGATTACCATAATTTCAAGTGGGGACAATTGCTGTGAAGAACAAATGAAACAGAGTAGGGGGTTCGAGAGGGACAGGATCAGGGCTGGGGCTGGCAGTGGTGGCGGGAGGAGAGTTGCTTTTCTATTTCTATTGACACTGGCTGAGGGAACTTGAGTCCCCACTGTGCACCAGGTGCTGTGCTGGGCTCTCGGCACCTCTCATCCCGTTTGGCTCTCCCCAGAATCTTACGATGCCAGCATGTCCACTTCACAGTTGTGGAAGTTGAAGTTCAGCGGTGAAGTGATTGGCCCAAAGCCACACAGCCAAGAAGTTGTAGCCATAAGACTCAAACCCCGACCCGTCTGAAGTGAAGCCTGTTTCTTCAGCAACAGCTGCCTCCCTGTAAGAGGCGGGCTCTGTTCTCTTAGGACTCTCACTCCGGTAAGGGAGATGGGACACCCGCAGTGGCTCCACCCCAGCACGGTGTAGCAATAGAGGCACATGCCGCGTACTTGGAAGGCAGAAGGGTGAACTGTCAGTGGGTGGGGAGGGCTCGACATGACCAGCTCCTGGGCAGGTGCAGGGAGCTGCCGTTTGCGTCTGCAGAGGAAGGAGGCTGGGTGGGCTCCTTTTCTGGGGAGGCCGCATCTCTCCTGGGGAAGGCAGATAAAAACGTGGGGAATCACAGGGACTTAGGTGGTCGCATGTGAGTGTGCGTGTGTGTGGCCAGGGGTGCCTGGTGGAAACAAGGGGGTGGACACCAGTGCTTTAGAAGCGTTTTGTGCATGTCACAGTCAGCAGCAGGGATGATATAATAATGACATCGACAACATCCCCAACTGTCATCACCCCATTTTATCAACGGGGAAACTGAGGCCCAGCGAGGTTAGGCATCCTGCCCAGGGTCACACAGTGAGTCGATAGAGGACCCAAGACTTCAAGTCAGGTTTGTGACTCCAAGCCCTTGCCCTTCATGGCTACATTCCGCTGCTGCCCCCACGGGATTGCCAAAAAAGGACCCGGGAGGCTGTGGGCTGGAGGAGAAGGGCTCGTCTGGGTGTCAGAAGACACACGTTGAATCCTTCTCTCCTACCACTTGGCTGACAGACTCTGACCAAGGGATTTAATATATTTAAAAAAATTATTTTTACTACAAAAATAATACATGTTCACCGTGTTGCATTTGACAAGTGCAGAATAGCAGAGAGAAAAGTAAAGAGCACCGGTCTCATCAGTCCAATGTTTATGTATCTTTTTGGAAGTGACTTGTTCCACATGGCTGGGGGCGGGGAAGGGCAGGTCCCCGAAGTTCTTGGGAGCCCCTTCCTTGACTTAACCGCTGTTTCCTGAGCTTCTCCTGAATGCCAGCCCTCAACCCAGCTCCTGCCTTCCCCAGGCTGTCCCTGACATGAGGCGGACGGACGGTGCGAGGAAACACAAGGCCCACACAGTGAGGTCAGGCAGTGACCCGGCAGTCCTGGGGTGATGGGAGCCTCTGGGCTGGGCTCCTACACCCGCAGGCTAGGCCAGGTGGGTGCTGGAAAAGGCCTCCTCAGAGGAACTGCAAATTTTGGCTGAGCCTTGGAGGATGAACAGAAATGGGACGGGAGATAGAGGATGTGGGGGAAAGGTGTCCCAGGCTGAGGGAACAGCCTGTTGGATGGCTCAGAGGCAGCGAGTGCTCAGCACATTCAGGGAGCAGAGCCTCACCCCTGTGACGGGAACATGGAGAGGGAGACAGGTGGGGAAGCCCCTGCTGCCCCTGTCCTTGCGGGGGAGCTGGGAGGACCAAAGGAGAGAGTGTGAAGGCAGGTCGCCATGCCCAGGTCATACTGCAAGACAAATGGTGTTTCTTTTATTTCTCAAAACTTTTTCCATGCTGTGGCCTTTGTTATTTTTCCGGTGAATGCTCCATTTCTCTCCCTATGTACCCCCCCGGCCCCCCACCAAAGGAGGAAAAAGATAAAAGGGCAAAGTCCTAGGAAGGCTCAGCAGCAGTTTGACTGGATGCTTTTAACTCAGTCTGGGCAGGAGAGACTTTTTATCCCCTGCAAGTCAATGCAAACTGTTAGGGAGATAAATAAATGACAGAGCTGCCGATGGACTGTTGGGCTCAAAGGAGGGACATTTGTCTCACTTTAGAAGAAGGACCTGGAGGGCTCAGCCCCATCGACTCGTTCATTGTGCTGTTATCTGCCAGAGAGGCGGTGACACCACAGCAATTAAGACAAACTTTAGTCTGTGAGTTCGTGCCTGCAATTGCGTGCCTTCGAAACAAGACAAATGACACCGCCAAGGGAGGAAACAAAGTCTTTTTCAGGCTCTGTCCAAAGTCACAGCGAATATGTGTGGTTGTCCAGCAGAAAATTTGTCATTATGAGGTCTGGGCTCTGCCGCCTCCCCCCTCCCAACACTGGAGTCCACCTCACTGGCTTGCACCAGCCCAGGCTGTCCTTGGACCCCACCTGGCCTCCCCCGAGGGGCCCCACCCACTGCCGGCCCCGCCCTGCCCTGCCCGCCCCCCCCGGGTTAGGGGCATCTCTTCTGGATCAGAGACGTGATTTCTGCCAAGGCAGATAGGGGTCCTGACAGAGCCGGGGAGTGTCATCGCGGCCCAGCCGGCTCCACTCCCTGTGCCCGCGGCCAGCGCCTGCGTCCCCTGCCCGGCTCCGCTGCAGACGCCGTTGCACCTCCCTGCTCCCTGTGCCACACGGCCACTCCTCTCGCCCCTGCCACAGCACCTCGGAGCTGGTGCTGGCCGCCCTGGATTGAGCTGTTTGCTCTGCCGGCCGCAGGAAGTGAAAACACTCGATGGCCTCCACGTTGGAGGCTGGGACCTGGTTCGGGTACAGTCTGCGGGGACCGCCTGGCCCCAGGAATGGAGTCGGGCTGCTGCCCGGGCCGCTGTGACCCTTCAGTGCGGCTGCCTGCTCGCCCTCCTGCGCCAGGCCCTTCTGTCGCCTGGCGGGGCACGGCCTCCCTCCCCGCCCCTGCCCGCCCCGCTACACCTTCCTTTCTCGCGGCCTCTCTGTGACCGAGAACACGGGCTTCCGTCCTAACAGGGCCTGGGCCTGGCTAAAGGTTGGAGCTCCGAGGGGCAATCTGGGCAGCGGTCAGTGGGGAGGGGTGACATCTCCGAGGCATCACGGCCCTCGCCGGGCTCCCCCGTCCGTGTGGAGGCAGCGTCAGCCCCTTCTGACCGGCCCGTGTGAAGGGGCCTCAGGGGGCTGCCAGCCTGCACGCAGCGCAGTGTCCTCCTGAGGCCTCGCTCGGAGGTTTGACGCTGGCCTCCAGCGCGAGCGAGCCGCGGCCGGAGGTGCTCGCCTCCCGGGAAGGTGCAGGTCTGCTCAGCTTGAGCAAAAGGTCCTTGGCGTTCGGGCAGGGCGCCCTCGGCTTCCCTCAGCCGGGCTACCCCACCCAGCCCAGCTTGCACCGGCCTGACCACCCCCGAACTGGGCTGGGCCTTGGGTGGGGGCTCTGGGTCACGCTGCTTTGGACCACAAGGCCTGTGTCCAGCCACACCTGGGGAGGAAGGTCCCGCCTCTCCTCCGTCTGCCCCCCCTACCTCCTTGGAGGGTCTCCAGAGCCCTGGGATTCTGTATTCCGAGTTTCCCACGTGGGAAAACCCAAGACAGAAGCAGGAAGGGAGTGCCGAGGTGGCCTCCTCCCCTCCAAGCCAGGGCCCTACATGCAGAGGAGGCACCTCCCTCTCATTGTGACCTGGGCCCCCGTGAGGGCCCTCCTGCCCCAGAAACGCTCCTCTCAGGCTTCCCTGAAGGTCTCAGAGGCCTGAGGCTGCACCCAATGGGGGTCTTTCTCCAGGGGGCTCTGGTGAGAAAGCCAGTGGGCGTCACTGAGGCTTGGAGACCAGGGTGGGACAGTGACAAGCCCTGGGGAGGAGGGGCTGCTCCCAAGGCCTCAGTCTGAGGGCCCCATCCCTCCATCCCCCTGCCCTCCCCTCTGCCCTCCCACACCTCGGAGCACCCTCCTGGTGTCGGCCCTGGGCCGGGTCCTGGGGATGGGGATGAGTAGAGGTGCCTGAAAGGAGGAACAGGAATTAGCCACATGGACAGGTTGAAGGTGGCTGGGGCTGGCTTTCCAGGCAGAGAGAAGAGCTCATTCCTGCCCCACCGTGTTCTAAGTCTCACCCCGCCCGTGACCTCTGAGGGCGAGAGTAGCTTGGCCTCAGGCTGCCAAGGGTGACCAGAGGAATGACAGAGCCCAAGCAGGCTAAAGAGGGTCCTGCCTCCAGCCAGAGAACCCCTGCAGGAGAACCCCTCAGAGGTCACCCACTCCCCATCTTCCTGACTTCAAGCCAGAGGGAGCTTACACATTGGGGGCTGCTCCAAAGCAGGAGCCTCGACCTGGGGTCATGAGCTGCAGGGGCTCCAGGCCCCCCCGAGTTGTGAACAGAACTCTGTGCATGCGTGCGGGTGCACATACCTCTGGGGATGCTCACAGGGCCTGTGGCCCCAGATGGCGAGAACTCTGCTCTGCAACTTCAGGGCTGGGAGGAGCTCTGGGGCTCAGTGCGATCAATCCCTGCATTGACAGATGAGGAAACTGAGGCTCAGATAGGAGACGTGCTTTGTCCAAGGTCACCCTGGAAGCTAATCTCCAGGTCCAGGGCTTCTAGACAGAGCAGTGTTTCCCAGCATTTCCCAGAGGGCGCTCTGCACCCTTACCCCCAGGGAGCTGGTGGAAGAGCAGGTCCCGGGGCCCCACTCCCAAACGTACTGATACACCATCTTTGCACACCAGAGTTTGGAACCTCTGCGCTTAGAGGACGGTGTGTGTGTGCGTGTGCACACCAGAGTGCTCTGTGAGGCCCTTGGGCAGCTGATTTCTGGGGCCATGGTTAAGACTGGGGCTCTGAGTCCCAAACAGTGCTTTGCTACTTACGTGTTGGGTAACCCTGGGCAAGTCGCTCAGCCTGTGCTTCGGTTTCTCCATCTGCACAATGGGCAGAATGATAACACCCCCATCTACCTCGTGGGATTGGGGCCAGGATTAAATGAGTTGATAAAGCCCTAAGCACAACCTGGCACGGGACACCTGCTCATTTTTCCTGCCTCCCCTGGCTTGGGATCTGGGGTGACAGCTTGCTGGGCGCATCTTCTCAAAACAAGGACAGGCTTGAAGTCTTGGGGGTGGCTGGTCCACATCCTGGGGTGGTCAGGCCTGTCTGGGGAGCCCTCAAGCTTGCCCCACGGTCCGAGCGCCCCTCCCTGGGAAGGTCCACCACCCTCGCGGCCTGCAGCTCTCCCCTGCCCTGAGCACTGGGCCAGGGAATGCAGTCTTCGTGGCCCCAGCCCGGCCATTTCTGTGACCTTCCTAGCCCCAGGGAAGTGGCTCAGTAGGATGATGCTGCCCAAGGCTCAGAGGCCGCTCAAGGCCTGTGCCTTACAAAGTGTTACTAAAAACATGATGGCCTGGACTCTGCTGTGGGAAACCAGATGACGCCTCGCACGGGTGGCCCTTTCCTGGCTCTGGACTGAGCATGGGCTGGGAATTGCAACTCCACCATTTTGGCCCTTTGGCCAACAAATATTTATTGTGCACCTACTAGGTGAGGCTTTATTCTTTGCACTGCGGATATGGTGTGAAGAAAACAGACCAGAATCGCTGCCCATGTGGAGCTTTCATTGTAACGGAGGGTGGGGGAGGTAGATAGAAGATAAGTAAGTAAAATGAGTGGTTTGTCACACAGTTACAAAGCAACAGCGCAGAACGGTGCAGGCAAGGGGCGTGTGCGTACCCGAGGGAGGCGTGGGAGGGTGTGATTTTGAGTAGAGTGGTCAGGTAGGTCTCACTGAGGTGCCATTTGAGCTAAGGCCTGCAGGCTGAAGTGAGCTTTGTGGGTACGCCGGGGGGATGCTGCAGGCAGCAAGTACAAAGGCCTACATTCACCCGCGATACTGGCTGCTAGTGACACAGAAAATGCAAATCTACATAACTGAGTCCCAGCTCGGTTAACAGGCCATCGCAGGTGTTCCTTTGAGGGGGTGCGGCCCACTCCTCCACGTGGTGATTCAGGGATCCAAGCTCCTTCCACCGTGGCTCAGCTCTCCCCCCCGCCATGGCAGTCATTTTTCTCATTTAGCAGGAGGATGGAGAAAGGGGTAGCAGAGCAGGGCATCTGCATCTTAGGCTTCCTGGCCACCTGCCCTCATTCCACTGAGAAGAGCTGGTCACAGGCCCCTGTTCAGTGCAAGGGGGGCTGGGAAACGTCGCCCCTGGCTGGGCGGCGCATACACGATGGAGGGAGTGTGGACCTCCGGTGGCTGGACGACGCCACTGGGCCCTTGGGTGGGACTGTGCCCAGATGTGCAAGAAGCAGCAAGGAGGCCAGCTGGCTGGGTAACGGGGGAACTGTGGGTGAGGGAGCTGCGGTCAGAGACAATGAGGGCAGATTGTACAGGGTCACGCAGGCCATCGTTGGGTCGCGGCTGTCCTCAGTGACTGGGAGCCCCTGGAGGCTCTGAGCAGGGGAGGGACAGCATCTGCCTTCGGCTTCAACAGGCTCCCTGGAGCTGCCAGGTGACCAGACCGCAGGGGTGGGGGCAGGAGCGGGGACGGGGGAGGAGGCTGTGGCGGGGTCCAGGCCATGGTGGGAAGTGGCAGAACCAACATCCTCGGAAGGCAAAGACGATAGGACTGCCTGGCTGGCTGGATGGGGGGTGTGAAATAAAAAGGAGTCAAGGCCGAGTGCTGGCACTTTGGCTGGGACGCTGGGAGGACAGAGATGCCGTTTAGTGAGAGGACAGCAGCGAAAGGAGGTCTCAGGTGTGCGTGACGTGTGCGGGGGGCAGGGGCGGGAGAGTTCGCTTTTAGACACGTCGAGATGCTGCTCAGTTCTGAGTGGCAACCGAGCTCCTGAGAGCCTCAGTTCCCTGTTGGTGCCATGGGGACAGCTGCCTTACCTCGAGGTGGTTGCGAGGATTACCCGGCTGGGAACGGCGGAGGTGACAGAGGTCCCCGGGCGTGCAGAGGGGAGAGGAGCCGGTGGCGGGGCGTGGGCCAGGGGCGGAGGAAGACCTCTCAGCATGGCCTGGGCCCTTTCTCCAACTCCTGGTCTCCTCTCTGCAGACGCGCAGGCGAGACCGAGACCGGCGTGGCCGGCGTGTTGCTGCCGGGGCAGCAGCTCTCAGCAGCGCAGCCGGGAGCTCTCGAGCCGAGCGGGCCCTACTCCTGCTGGGACTCGGCTCGGGCACCTCCCCGCCTCTGCTTCTCCTCTGACAAGGCTGCGGGCCCCTACGGCACTGTGGGAGCATCGGGGTGCCCCGCGGGTGGCAGACTCACTCGACAACACGCCCTCGCAGGGGAGGCAGTCACGGAGCAGTAATACTTTTATTCCCACCGTGAGGCTGGTGGGGTCTGACCTTTACAAGGAATAACGTTAGGGAAACAGGGCAGGGGCCACAGGAGCTTCCATTCTCGCCGCCTCGCCCCTTTGCCCACCCTGCCAGCGTCGGAGCCTCCTGGAGCGGCTGCCACCCCCTCGGCCAGGCCATCTGCCTGCAGAGTCGAAGGTGACAGCAGGGAAGCCGGGCCCAGCAAGCTGTGGTGCAGGCAGCGAATGGAGAGGGGGCAACAGGTGGGCTGTTCCCCTCGGTCCTGGACTTTCAGCGACGCGCTGAGGCCTCATGCGGGCCCCTGCTGGCTCCGCCGCTCCTCCAGCGCCCGGCACACCCACATGGACACCACGGTGGCGTTTCCGTCATTGAACTGCACGATGAAGGGGTGGCCCTGTGGGAAAGAGGAGCAGGCTGTGACAGGTATTCCCTGGACTTTGCCCTTCAATGCACTTTTCGAGGCCTGTTCTCAGCCTGGATCTCATTTCTTTTCCGCAACAACCGTGTGAGGTGCGGAGGGCAGCTATCAGCCCATTTCACGGTGTAGACCACTGAGGCCCAAGGAGGGGCCGTGCCACACCCGCAGTCAGCACCGACCGTCTGGAGCACGGGCTGGCTCGCCTCAGACTCCGCCTGCTGCTCTGCCACCTTCTCCTGAGACCCTGGGGAGCCTGAAAGGTCCTTAAGGGCGAGGCCTATCTTAACCGCACACTCTGCCTGGCCCTTCCGCAGCCGGCCAAGGCCTGGCGCCCGTGTCGCCAGCTTTCCGGTCCAGTGGCTGCCCAGAGGCCAAGGAACCACCTCGTCAGAGGCCACGTCAATCCCTTTTAGTTGTCCCCTTTGTCTGCAGCTCGCCTATAAACGAATCCATCCCGTCTGCGGCTGGAGGGAAGGCAGACCGTGCCTGGGAAGGAAGAGGAGCACGCAGGAATGTGCTGGGACCGCAGACCACTCCGGCGTCTGGTGAGAGGTTCGGTGGGGGCCGACTGCGGAGGGGCCGGCACTGTCTCCGAGTGGCTGCCTCCGGCTCTAACCTACTTAGCCCACAGGCAGGCCAGGTTATATTTAGTCAGTCCCTCCCCTGCTGTCCTGAAGCACCAGGATTTGCACCCACAATCACGGCCTCCTGGGAGTTCCCAGGGAAGGTCAGAAAAAAGCAGGGACAGCCATAAGGTTGCCTGGCCACAAGTCAAAGGTGAAAGGAAAACTGAAAAACATTCTCTTTCCTCCTCCCCAAGCAGCTTCTTCGGTAGGAACTTACACCTGGTGGCTTCCTCGACTACCAAAAACTTTACAGCTTGCACAGTGAGACTCAGGGAGCCACAGTGGGCGGGCAGAGACAATGGGGAGGATGGGGGCTCTCTGCTGCCTGCCTCCAGCTCCTCTTCTCCCTCCCCTTCCAGGGGCAGCTTCCCTGCTCCCTCCAGCTTCCTGAGCCCTCGTGGCCCCGCCCACAACACGCCCCAGCCTTGACCTGCAGCCCCTGGGAACCTGCTCGAGGTGCCACACTGCCTCCCCATGAGCTCATCACATAGCCAGGAGGGACGTGGGCCCTGGGTGCCAGCCCCCAGTGTGTGCAGGAGCTGCCATGGACCAGGCTAGGGTAGGGAAAGGGGGTTAAATGGCCCATCTGGGCCACGGGTCAGACCTGAGACTTCTCTCGGACAGGAAGAAAGAACGCCCACGGCTCTTCACCCTGGGTGAGTGCTGTGTCCCCTCACCAGCCTTCCAACTCGGGTATGGAAAACCATCCCTGGGAGCACCCTGCATGGGTCTAGCTCGGAGGCACACAAAATACTGCCAGCGGCGCAAGGAGGGAAGAAACTCAGCCCAGAAGGTGCCAAGACGCCCAACCCAGGACAGGGATTCATTGAGGCCATGGTGGAGCTAGGCTGGGGCCCAGCCGGGCGCCTCCTGTGATCTGCTCATGGCACTTTGTGGGGGCTGTCGGCACACCTGCAGGGCCCCCAAGGGAGCAGGGCCATGGGGAAGGGGAGCTGGAGGCCAGGTTGGGTGGGCGCCCCATGAGTGGCACAGGCCTGGGTGGGGGCTGAGGCAGGAGAGGCCCAGGAGGGACTGTCCCGGCTTTCCTATGTTCTCCTCCCCATATACCTGCCCGCCCTGTGCCCAGACAGAGGAAATGCTCTGAAGTCCAAGCGTGCACACTTCCTTTCAGGAGGCTCAGGAGAGGTGACCTTGTGCCCCTCTGAAGAACAAAGGGAGACGCGGTGCTCAGGAGTGATGGGCCCCTCCCTCCAAGCCTGGGGTAACACAGTGTCACTTTCCCAGAATGCCGGGTGACTTTGGGGCCCATATGCTCCATCTCTGCTATCATCTGTTCCGGAGCAAGCAGAGCGGAACGGCAGGAGGGGAGAGTGGAGGCATTCCTCCCCGCTGCAGGAAGGGCGGATGGCCGCGCTGCAGGGAAGCACTTCGCCCAAGTGCCCCAGTAGGCGAGGGGGGAGAGGGCTGCGAGGCTGCTGGCATCCTCCGCTCCGCCGGATACTCTGGCCCCCTCCTGCCCTCGTTGCCTGGGACGTGACCCCCATATCCTTTGTGTCGCTGCTGAGGCGCGATGCATCCCTGACGCTTTACACCACCCTGACCTGGACAGCCGGCTTTGTCCCCAGCAACTGCTGATTGGTTTAGGGTGGGTGCCTGAAGTGAGATATGAGGGGCAGAATCACAGAGGGAGACGGGGGGAACCCCAGCATCTCTGGGCAACCTGGGCTGTGACCTGTGAACCTGGGAGGCGCTGGCAGCCATGGACCCCCACGTGACTGGACACACGGAGGAAGCTGGTCTGTGGGCGGTGACGGTAGGAGTGCTGTACAGAGAGGGGCAGAGAAGGGCAGGAGGGGGTCCTGACAGCATTGGAGACCCTGCGGCCATTATACCTGGGGCCTGGCAGCAGCTCTGTCTGCAGGGTCCGCGAGGCACCTCCCAGGCAGGGGTTGGTTTCTGTTATTTTCAGCCAAAGAAGTGCTAATTCACAGAAGTGGGTACTACTGTCTCCACTTCACAGATGAGGAAACAGAGGCCACAGGGTCACAGTTGACCTGCCTCGGTTTCCAGAGCTGGGACTGGACCACAAGTCTCTGTAACGCAAACCTACTGCCCTCGGCTCTTCCTGGGCAGTCCTGGGCTGGGCAGAGGTGGGACAACCAACATCCAAGTTGCAATTCCCCTTTGCCTTGTTTCTAGGAACCAGGGCAAGTCACGCCTGCCTGGCCAGAGGTGGGACCAGGGCTGCAGGCTTTAAGCCTGGACCATCCCGGGTCTTGACCTCTGTCAGTGCTGACCCTTGGGCACACTGGGGGAGTCACCTGACTACCCCTCCGATCAACCCTGTGTGGGAAGCAGGGAAAGTGTAGCACAGCTCCCATTTTATAGAAGAGGACACTGAGGCCCAGGGAGGGAAGCTGTTGGTTAAGAACTGGGCCAGGCCTGATGTTCATGCCTTTAATCCCAGCACGCTGGGAGGCCAAGGTGAGAGGATCACTTGAGGCCAGGAGTTTGAAATCAGACTGGACAGCACAGTGAGGCCCCATTTCTAAAAAAAATTAAAAAAATTAGCTGGGTGTGGTGGCACACACCTATAGTCCCAGCTATTGTGGGAGGCTGAGGCAGGAGAATTGCTTGAGTCCAAGAGTTCAAGGCTGCAGAAGCTATGACTGTGCCACTGCACTCCAGCCTGGGTGATAGAGCAAGACATTGTCTCAAAAAAAAAAAAAAAGCTGAGATTGAACTTAGATCTTCTGGTGCCTATTCTGGAATGTTCTCAGGGCTGGCATGGCTCCCATAGGACCCTAGGGGGTGCAGTTCTCTCCTTCCTCCTAGACTATATCTGACATCCTCAAGCCCTGTGACATGCACAGTGCAGGCATTCCTGATGAGTTTAGTTAGCAAACAAATACGGTCCGATGGAAAATTCTAGGGGAAGTATGAAAATCACTCGGCCTCCCTGAGGTGCCTGAGTTTTGCACAGCCAGATGCTCCAGGAGTCCCGGCAGGCCAGCCTCCTGGAGATGGAGACCGCACACCAAATACGACTGAGTCCAGCACTGGGCTGAGCTGTGTGCCAGGCACTTGCCAAAGGCTCTGTCCTGTGTGCCCGCTGGCTCCCCAGGTTCACTCCGGTGCCAAGCACAGCTATGCATCTCTACCTTCCCGATGAGGAAACTGACATTCAGTGTGTGGTGCTCGCCGCAGGGCATCCAAGCACGTGGTTGGGCTGGAACCAGAACATGAGTCTCCCGACTCGAGATGCCATGCTCATGACCACGTGCTCTCCTGCATGTGCGATCAGAGAGCTGACCTTGAGGCTCCCTGCAGGGTCCCCATGAGGCCCGGGAAGGGCTCCAGCCCCTGCAGATGGTCCCACCTCTGTGCCTGGGTGAAACATACATCCCCCCAGGCAGAGCAGTCCAGGTGTGGACACGCTCTTGCAGCCCCATCAGCCGATGAGGAACAATGGAGCATGGCATGGTCCATCTCCCTGGAGCTGGAACACCAACATGCTGCTTGTCAAGAGCATCTCCCACCCAAGGTGACTGCTCCAGACACCTAGGCCTCTGTCTTCCATGCAGAAAGTGTGTGAGCAGCCTGTCTGCAAAGCCTGGCAGTGCCAGGCTGCAGCTGCTGAATGATCTCACTGGCTAGTGGGAGCCACTCTCATCTCCCAGATTCTCTCAGGGCCAACTGCGACAATTAAACTGGCAAGGGTTGAAGCATTATAGTCCACAAGCTTCGTCACAGAAGATGGAGATGGAGACAAAATGAAGGGAAAAGGATGGGACTGCAAGCGGTAGGATGGCTCCAAAAGTGGGACACAGGGGAGAGTGACGACACAACCACACCAGAGGTGGCATCTCCTGGTGCAGACACTCCCACCAAAGGGAGATGCAGGGCACTGGTGAAAACGTCCTAAGTGTTGAAGAGGAATTGCGGTTGTTCACTACACTCCCTCCTTTACCTGGGCACCAGTGTCCAGCGTGTCAGGAGAGCTTGACTCTTCACCTCTGTGCCAGCATCCCTGCTTCTTGCCCCCTGGTTCTACCGTGATGAGGGGCTTTCCGGAGGGACTGACAGCAGGACGCTCCCGAGCCCCTCTCATGTGGAGGCGGGGAGGACGGCTTGGTGAGCTGTCGTGTGGGCAGGGACGAGGCTCTGAGCCTCCCACGGTGGCTGAGTGCTGCTTGAGGCTCAGGACTGGACTTCCAGACCAGCGCTCATTTGATGACACCTCACTGGCTGTCCTTAGTTGGGCTTTGAGTTTCTTCCCAAATAGGAATTTACTTACTTGGGCTCCCCACACTTGCCTGTCTTCATGTAACTTCCTCAAGAACGTCATGCATTTGAATCATTTAAAAACTTACTGGTGTGGCTGCAGGG